CTGATAAATAGACTGGCCATATTTCATCCATCAATTCAATTAGAAAAAGCAATGGGTTGTTCAAAGCAGCCATGTCTTATCCACCAATGCATGGCAAGTTGTAGTCTAATGTATGATTGGTCCAAATTTCTTTTAAAAGAGGCTTCCCACTATTATGTGGCCTTGGAATTTGCCTTTTGAAACTCTGCATATACTTTTTGAACTTGATAAGCTAGGTCAAGCACGCACAAGACTCATAGATATATAGTCAGCAAGGCATTAGGCATGTTTCACTATTCATGACAATCCCATGAACATTTCCAGCATTAGTGTGCAAAACTGATAAGCTTTCAAATAAAAAATTGTAGATGGTGATGGGAGAAGCAACTGCTAAAGTACCTCTAGCTGTGCAGCTGCCTCTTTATATTGACGTTTTGACGCCATTACTTGTAGTTGTTCAACAGCAGAAACTGTCAAAATACATAATAATAAAAATGAGAATGTGAAGAAAGATTTCTTTTCCCCTAACAAAAGAAAGAATGTGTGTGTGAATTGGTGTATCCAGTGCCGAAGCTCAGACACCATGGGGATGTGGTAAAGAGCATTATCTGGTCCACCATTCCCTTTCTTATTGCAAGGAGGTGGATTCAGAGGTAGACCTCCAGAGACTGCAAAAGTTGTGCCAGGCTGCCGCCTTTCAAGAGAAGGCATGCATGTGTGTACCAAAAAAGAAATGTTAGAATTAACCACAGCCTATTAAGGCCAATCAATTGCAGTAAAATATAAAAAGATATTGTTGTGAGAAAGTATGTTAGATTATTGAGTAAAAGAAGTGACGCTGGAAATATTAGTTATACACCGAATAATTTATTAAATATGGGGCCTGTTACACTTACAAACATACAGTTCAGACCTGTTTGGATGTGCTTTCAAAAATTTACTTTAATTAAAAAGAAAACTAATGCAAACACAATCTAGGTTTTTTTTTTCAAACTATTTTTTTTGTAGATAACAAAATAACATAAGTAAAGTTCAATAGGGTATAAAATTTCTTGAAACTTGAAAGGATTCAGCTATTGTTGTTGATTGAATACATAAAACGAATATTAAAATCCATTAAAGCACTTTCAACGATTCTAAAAGCACACCCCAACAGGTCCATCAGGTGTTCAATGTTTACATCAAACTCAGCAATATCCTTTCATGCTTCCAGTACAATGCAAGCGGAACATAATCAAAGAATCTATTTAACAATTAAAAATGCTAAACATTGTATACCCAGTCATTGAAACCAAGCAACAATAGCATGATCTTTCTTCAGGTAAATCAACAGCAATTAGCATTCCCTAAGCATAAAATGTTGTAAGGAAATAAATGCCCATGACAGTGCAATAAAGAAGAGATTAACCTAGCATTGTGAGACGATGAAGTGCAGTAATTGTTGTGGTGATATGCTTCTTCGCAAAATCCAATTTCTTAATATCACGGCATATTTCCTGGACCATTGTTTCACTTTGCTCTGCTTTATTTTTAATTTCTCGAATCTTATACATTAGTTCCTGGTTTAAGAAATTTATCAAGTGAACAAAACCAGAAAAGGTGAAGGTAGTATTAGACAATAGCCATGGAGCAATTGACCCTGTTCTAACTTTATAATGTGATTTGCTTGAAGCCAATCAGGCCATGGTTTTCCATAAATGTAGGAGTTAATGAAATATATGTGCCGATCAAACCTGCACAGCTTGCGTAGCAGCAGCGAGATCCTCCCTGGCTTTTGACCCAGAATTACTCTGCAGGAGATAAGGGCCAGCAAAATTATAGTGTGTTTTAAACAAAGGAATTCTATGGAGAAAAAAGAAATGCTTGCAAATTTGTTAACTTCAACTTCATTACGGGAAGTCTAACAATGATTAATTCACGTTGATAACAAGAGCAGAAAGAGATGATGAAGGTCATAAAAGAGAAAAGGTGTAATGGGTGCATGAGAGGTGAGAGAAATGACCTGCTGACGAACAGCAGATAATATTTCAGCATCCACCCTACGAATTTCACTTTGTACTGTCTGCATTAGTGGCTCAACTCCAGATAAAGATGCTTCTGAAAATCAAGAATCTTCCATGTATCAAAGAGCTTGATAACATCATTGGTTTAAATAAAAATATTTGCTCAACTGAAGATGATAATCTAGCAATTTATTTGTTGTTTTTTAAGTACAATGATGATCAGTGTTTAAGGAAAATTGCTCAATTGTTTTTCAATGATAATCCTTGAATGTAGAAAATTCATGTAATGATGCAAAACATTAGAAAGCACAATGCTGACTAATGCCTAGATATAATACTAATAGCCTGCTTGCCAAAACTTTTTTAAAATGAAAATGCTATTGATTTTTTTAAAAATGTTAATTGTTTAAAGGCCACGTGCTGCTTCTTTCATCTCATATAAATTCTTTTTTAGAGTTTGTAATATTAAATTTGATGCACGCTCAACTGATCATGGTGAATATCTATCAAAAACCATTTGGCATACACATTTCCATACAACACATGAAAACAATTCTGCTCAAATATATAAATGTGTGACCTGTAGGAAACATCTGGTTGATGTAATCCAAGGTATTCTGCTTGTCCATTGATGCCATTGATTCACCTTGCAGATTTCTCTGTATATAATAAGGCAGTTTGTTTTGCCAATTTTCCCAGCACAACTGACTGAAGAAAAAGTAACAAAATCAAGGTATGTTTTGCAAATCTGTCAATTTTTTGTATGACTTGTTTTAAATTTTTGTATTCTCTGTGTTCAATAACAAGGGGTAACAATAGCTACTTAATGCTGAATAACAACGTACAAGCTTTTTGAAATCTACCCTCACCCGGAGAATGAGAGAGTGATAAAGAGTCAGCATAACTAGTTAACTACCCACTAACCCTTCTATAGGTAAAGGGAGGAAGTTGGAGATGGATTGCAGATCTTCAGTGACATGAAAGTTATGGAATTACGGCAACAAGGCAAGGCACCAACAGACCTTACATCCCCTAATCGAATAGATGTCCCAAAAGAAAACTCACATCCAAATGTTAGTTGTTTGTTTATTTATTTAAGTTAAATTTTAAAAATGAGAGGCTCTCTTGAACCACCCGTTGCGGTTGTGGCATGATTCTACGGATATTTTCTTATGTGTACTCATTTTATTATCTGCATTTCAGCTTTTTATATATGATGACTGCCAGCATAAACCTACAGGAGAGTAATCCGAATCGCCTAAACAATTAAAAATGGCAAGAAATGCAGTTTTTCTTAATGATTGTGATATTAAAATGCAAGCATTTCAATGCAAGAGATGCTCCCAATATTAAAAAAATGAAAAACACATAGACCGATTTATATAGTAGGAAAAATGGCGCAGCTATTAAATACTGTAAGTGAATATATAACAAAGCGAGTACTTATTGTAGAGTGGACATCTTCGAAAATATAGTGCTTGCTGAAGATCTGTAGAATAGTGTTTCGGATGCGGAATTCTGACCAAGTTCATCAATGATTAAAAAAAACATCTTCTAAATTGTGTTTCAAATCTGGATGGTTGAAACAGGACAAGAGTCTTGTTTCGAGGATGAAATCAGAGATTGAAGATGGAGGGTGGAATAGAGAGAGAGAGTATACCTGAGGTTGGATCACTTCAATGTATTTCAGTAAATCGAAATATTGGGAGTCGTCCAATGGGACTGCGAGGAAGCCATGGCCGAAGGGAAGCTTGAGAATCCTTGGGAGGTACCTCTAATCATCCTGAATATCAACAATTTTTTTAGACGTTTTTTACTTTCAACATAAATTTCTATTTTTTTTATTTAAAAAATAAATACAGAATAATATATAGATTAAATTCTCAAAATGGTATCCCTCCGTCCCTAAATAGATTACAATTTTTTTCTCTCCTCTTGATAACTTTTGTTTATTTACGCGATTTCATTAAGTATTTGATAAAATAAAATATTCTTGTTACCTCTTGTTTTGTAGAACTTTTGACGTAGTTTTTTAATATGTAATTTTTATATCTTATTGATATGCGTATTCAATAACTATATGTTTTTCTAAATTAGTTCTCAAAATAAACTAATTCTCTAGATGATATTCGTTATTTGAGAACAATGCTCAGTTCAGTCCTCCCGACTAATGGCCGTTAAAACTGCATTAAAACAACATTAAACCTTATACTATTCTCCCAAAATGATAATTTCTAATTGAGTGTATTAGTCCATTTTTAAATTAAAATATATTAATTATGGAAAAATATTTTAATTTTTATAGGATGACAATATAATACTTCGTACTAAAAAGTATAAATATAATTTTATAAATTTGAAAATAAATCCTTTATATATATTATTTACAACTATTTAGAAGAATACCATGTAAATAAAATGTTAAATAAATGTTTAAGAAATCACCCTAAATAGGAGTAAAATATAAAAAAGTAGCAAAATAGAAATTTTTTACTATATTTTATTATTATTTATGATGATTTCTCTAATGTTCAATTAATTTTTATAAAAGTAAAAAATGATACTTTAACATTTAAGCGAAGAGAATTTAAAAAATGCCACACACACACATACATACACACACACACCGTAATATACAAAAGATTGGGAAAATACTTTAACATTTTATTTCATTCAAATTCTAAGTAAATTCTATATAGTAATTTTATGATATGAGATTTTTCATTTTTGGTCTCCAATTTCCATATATTTTGTGATTATGATCTTTTTTTTATGGGTACAATTCAAAACATTATTCATTATAATAATCCTTTCTTTTTTTGAAAGCATAATTCTTTCTTTAATATGTCTCAATCCATCAATATACTATCTGTTCAATCTTAATCGCAATCTCTTAAGTGTAGGAGTGTGACGCGTAGGAATATTGATCGAACTTCATAATGGATATCATTAGCTAGCTTCCACCTATGTAGTTTATCATGGCTGGGAGGCGTTACACAATTGGCAAAAACATGAAATGTCAAGAGATAGCTTTTACTGGGAGGTAATTATGCTAAGTATATGACATATAAAAATACTATCACCACTCTACCATTAAAATTCTATGAAGCTCATCCGTTTGTGTGCAATGTATTCCCTTTATAAAAAACTACTCCCGTAGAAAATGTAAATGATTATGGAGAAATATATCTAGTCTCTTTGAATGCACGGAAAAATTATTGCTAACAAAATTGAGAACTAAGATTTTGGGTAAGGGAAGAAATGCGCGGCGGTGGGCATAAAATTAGTAGTAGTAAAAGGAGTGTGGTAAGAAGGATGCGGCGGCGGCTGTGGTGGAGATACGTTGTTATTGGAGGCAGCCGCGGTGGCATCGCCACCCACGAGATGACCAAGTTGCTGCAGGCGGGCGGCGGCGGCTGAGGATCCCTCCTCGGGGGTGTTGTAACGGCTCTCCGGCCCTTGATCGTAGAGAATCCCTTTGAAGACGTGGCCGGCAATGTTGACCGCCGTCTGGTACGCGTATTGACAATTTGTATCCTCCCCGCCGGCACTGTCGACGGAGCTCACCCGCACGCATCTAAATACCGCCGGAAAACTCACTTCCGCCGGAAAATTACTCTCTTCTGCACTACCTGCTGCAACCCAACGTAACAAATTTAAACCACGCTTTATCATCAATATAACGAAAATGATCAAATTAAGCAATAAGCAACATTGGCCCCGTTAGCTTTGAAAAAGGCTTCCATGTTAATTACTCCCTCCGTCCCATGAAACATAGTACTTTTGCTTTTTTAGGATGGATTTAAGGCGAGTGTATTTTGGTATTGAATTTCCAAAAATGTCCTTTGATGTGATGGGTAAAAGTATGATTTGATGGATAGATTATTAGTAAAAAGATATGATGTGATAGTTAGGGTATGAAAAAGTAAGGAGTAAAAGTGACTTTTTAATAGAAATGAGAAGTGTTTTGTGAGACGGATAAAAAAAGAAAGGAGAAAGGTTTTATGGGACGGATGGAGTAGAATATACATTTTGAAAATGCTACTCACATCTTCATGTGCATCGGTTTGTCGGCCTTCGAAATGCTGGTTGTTGGGATGCCAGCATTTCGAACGAGGATGGTTGGAATGTCCTCATTGGGCCGACTCTCCGAGGTTGGGTTTCGGGGAGCCAAATTTCATTAATTTGGCTTGGTGTGCTGATGTTAGGTGTGTCGGCCCTGCATTAGCTCTTTTCCTTTCGGTGTTTGGTTCTCCCGTTACACCCACCCAGGTGGATGGACCATGCATCAAGGACTAATACAGTTGGTATTTGGGCGTCTCGAAGTGGGTAGGACGGTTGGCATCGGTTTTGTTGGCCTTCAAAATGCTGGTTGTTGGGATGCCAGCATTTCAAACGAGGATGGTTGGCTATTTCGTCCTCGTTGAGTCGACTCTCAGAGTGTTGCTTTTAAGTTGCCAGATTTCTTTAATTTGGCTCGGTGTGCCGGTGTTTGGTGTGCCGGACCTGCATCAGCCCTCGATGCCGGGCCCATCCACTTGGGTGGGTGTAATGGAAAAACCAAACTAAAAAACTTTTAACAATTTCTATTGCAAAGTCTATTTTGTTAATAATTTTTAATACTTAAGTCATCATTATGACAAATTAAATAATATACCTTCGAAAATCTTTATCACAAGATCTATCAAACAACATTAATATTGCATATATATATTTATATTGTAAAATTTGCACTAAATAGGACTAAAACATAATGACTTTCCTAATGTAGGACTTAAACTTTTTTATTCCCTATATAGGACTTAATAATGACCTAGTGGAAGGAATAATGTCCTGTAATGATGGACATTTAGTTGAATAATGACTACTCGATAATGACTAAAGGTCCTACATTGGGAAATAAAAACACATGATCATATATTGTGAAAGTCATTATGTTTTAGTCCTATTTAGGTAAATTTCTCATTTATATTTTTGCTCAAAAGATTTGGGGTTGAAATTAAAGAACAATATTTCGTTCTTTTTTTAAACAGAACACATTTTAAGTAGTGAAATTTGCATTAAATAGGACTAAAACATAATGACTTTCCTAATCTAGGACTTAAACTTTTTTATTCCCTAAATAAGACTTATTAATGTCTTAGTGAGAAGAATAATGTCCAGTAATGATGGACATTACTTGAATAATGACTAATTCATAATGACCAAAAGTCCTACATTGGGAAATAAAAACATATGGTCCTATATTAGAAAAGTCATTATGTTTTAGTTCTATTTAAGTAAATTACTCTTTTAAGTATAAATTAATTATGTCTCGGATTTATACAGAACACATTTAATATCAATCGTTTTGATTTGTCTTGAATTGAAATACTGAAAATCATGTTTTTATTTAAAAAAAATAATTTATAAATATAGATTTTAATACTCAAAATATCATATTGAACCCCCATTAAAATTCAAATGAGAACATTGTCTTGAATAGTAGCTAAGTAAGAGTAAAGAATGATAAAAATATATACTAAAATAAAAGTAGCGCCCTTTTTGTGATCTAAACATGAGTTCACACTCCGCACTTCCACCATAGCTTTGTTGTAGGTTGCTGCCTGCTGGAGCTCCGCTGCATGCCACTGACATTGACCACCGTTGACCGATTGTCAATCACCACACTCGACCTTCACATTGTCACTATATACACTGCTATATTATCATCTCATTGTCATCATTTATGCTACCTAGCTATATTAAATTTTGTTAATAATGTACTCTTATCGTTGGAATTTTGGTGGGTCGATTGAACTGGCCGTGCTCCAAATTAATACTCCCTCTGTTTGGAAAAAGTGTTCCTATTTTGACTTTGTGTAAAAATAAGGAAGTATTAAATTGTAGTTGACTTCCAATTTTGCCCTTGATGTGATAGGTAAAAGTAAGATGTGATGGATAGATTATTAGAGATAAAGTATGATGTGATAGGTAGGGTAGGAAAAAGTAAGGGTAAAAGTGGTTTTTTAATAAAAAGTGGAAGTGTTTTGTTGGAAATGAAAAAAATGAAAGAGGAAGTGTTTTAAAAAACGGAGGGAGTATGTGAGATTTGACTAATTTTACATTTAAGTCCGGATTCACTTTCTATCCAAAAGCCTAAACCAATGGGTAGTCTTTCACCTTGTTTTATACAAGAGTGGTACGGTATTGATTTTTTCGGTGCAGGATGTGCCCGACACACGACTTCCAAACCCTAATCTGATATTTGTTTGGCAATTTACGCTTATCTAGAGACATTTCTTTATACTTATATTATATGCTACTCGTATATGTTGGTGCATCCATCGGAGTGATATAACATCCTCTCATAGTAGTTTTGAGACGTCCTAATTTAAAAAAGCTTTATCTTCTTTTTTTTGTGAAAAATTTTGAGTGACTCCTAATATTTTTTTCTGTATATCAATTTCACTCTCACAATTTAATTTTTTTTTCTAAATTTTATATCATGTCAAAACAATTTTTTGGGATGACTGAGTAATTAATTACTCCTTCCCTTCTTAAAAATACTTTTTCTTTCATTTTTTCTACTACCACTTTCTATTAATTAAAAAACTTTTTTTACCTCTATATTTTCTTATTATATTTATCATATATTATTTTTTCTAAAATAATCTATTTATCACACCTAAGATAAAATTAGAAGTCAACTACAATTTAACACTTTTTTATTTTACCAATTGGTCAAAAATATAACTCTTCTCAAGAAAAGAATGGAGAGAGTAACAAATTAAGGTTAATTAATTGGTGCGTACCGAAGAAGGGGGGGTTTTGAGGAGGCGGGGGCGGCGGAAGGTGGCGGTTAATAGGGTAGGAGGAAAGGCGGTGTCTGGCGGCGGCGGTGTGGCGGCGCTTGGAAACGGGGATCCAAGTGCTCTTGACGTGAGTGGGGCACTGGAACCCACGGCTCTTGCAGCAAGTCCGGCACCTCATGTACCCACAGTCTCTCTTTGATTGGTTCCCGCAATCTTGGCATCTGCTGCTGCCGCTGCTGCTCGACGACGACCACCTCCCCCCAGCCGCCCCTCCGCCGCTCACGTCTTCTTCTACTACTTCTTCACCTCCTCTCATCATCATCATCATCATCTCCTTTTCTTCATCATCATATAATCACCAGATAGATCTTCAATTCTACCCTATATATTTTCCTCACTCACTCTTAGCTAACAAGATATATATGTGTAGGTAGCCAGGTAGGTATAGTATATATATATATATATATATATATATATATATATATATATATATATATATATATATATATCCTCTCAGCCAATATTCTGATCTTTCATATACTCCGTAGTATTTATTAATTTGTTTACAATTATTCATTAATCATTACATAAAATAAAATAAGACCATTTTTATTCCTAATTTTGTAGGAGTCCGTACTATCTCTGTCTCAGTTTATTATTAAGAAATATTTGCACTAAATAGAATTAAAACTTAAATCATTTTCCTATTATTAACTCTAAATTATTTGAAACAAAGAGAGCAATATGAATTGGATGAAATACTTTGAATTACCTAAGATTTATAGTGGATCTTCATGTAAGCCAAATGAGCATTTAATCACCGAGATAAACATATTTTAACTTATTAAAAAAAATAAATAAATATTCCCTCCATCCCTAAAAGATTGAAACAAATTGATATTTTTGGTTAAACTGTGATACCCTCTAACCAAGAATTAAATATATTTAGAAATAATTAAATATTATAAAAATCTGATACTTCAAAACTATATTATAAAGTAAACCTAATTTTATTATATTTACATTATAACTAAATATTTCAGGTATAATTTTTCCATAATTCACAGTCAAAGGATGTCGCAGTATAACCAAAAAAAATCAAACTGTGACAATATTTTAGAGGTTTGTATAAGAAGGTCAATATAAACCTTGTAAACGTTATGTCCATCATAGAATTACCGAATTCTTGGGATCTTTTTGTTAATAAGTACTCCGTAATGGCGTAATACGAAGTACGTACTTAGCTTCTTTCGTGTTAGTGTATTTTTTTTGGATTCTTTATGACTTAATTCTCACACACCAGATTTTTTTAATTTGTGCTTAAAAAAGTACTCCCTCCGTCCCAATTTATTTGCAACACTTCGAACGACGTGCAAAATATCATCTCTTTTAAAATCACTTTAATTTCAAATTGGTAGAGTAATAAAAAGTAAAAATTACATCATTTAAAAGTATATGAAAAGCTCTACAAAACAAGATGCGACAAGAATATTTTATTTTATCAAATGGTCAACCAAAACGAGTAAACAAACAAAAGTTATCGAGAGACCAGAATAGTAAACGTGGCATTCTTTCTGGGACGGATGGAGTAGTAAATTTGAAGTAATTTTCTTAAAAGAATTGAAAGAAAAATTTAACATTTTTCTTAATATTATGTAGTACTCCGTATCATTTAATAAAATATAGAAATGATAAAATGATTAAAATCCATGCATAAACGTATGTACGTATAGTATATATAATTATATACTTCCTCTATCCCTTAAACTCCTTATCTTTTCTTTTTTTTCTTGCCTACTAATTCCTTCTCTTATCTATTAAAAACCACTTTTACCCCTTACTTTTTCATACCCTACATATCACATCATACTTTTTTACAAATAACATATTCAAAATACTTTTACCCATCACATCAAAGATATTTTTATAAATTTAACACTAAAATATTTCTCCCATAATTTTCCAAAAAGTCAATAAGAGAACGACGTTAAGAGACGGAGCGAGTATAGTGTATGTATAGGAAATAGGGGATAGGGGGAGTACGTACGTACGTAGAATAGATTCGAATGGAGCGTACGTATAATTAGGGCGGGCAGCCGGGCAAGGGGGGTGATTTTAGCTAGGCAGACAAAATAGCTGCAGTCAACTATATATATCTCCCTGGGTAGGAAATTAAAAGCTTTTGTCGTTTTACGTAACTACGAGTCTACGAGTTACGGAGTAAAAAAGAAAAGAAAAGAAAGCATATTCTCATTTAATTTCTTCTCTATTTAACCTTTTTAAAGATGTCTTGGGAAAAAAATTACTTTCTACTTCTTCAAACTCATAAAGATGTTCTCACTTCGATTTTAAGAAAAATTTAAAGGAATGATAATTTTGTATTGATTTTCTAAAAATATACTTGATGTGATGCGTAAAAATAGCATGTGATGAGTAGTAATTTCTTTTAAAAAAGATTGAATGGATTGTACTCCGATCCCTTCCTCTCAGAAAGAACTTTTCAAAGGAAAAGTTATCTTAAATAATCTTACCTTTTCACGTTCTTTCGAAAATAATTCCACTTTTCACTATTGACAAAGTTAATCTCACCTTTTTGCATCTGTGCAAGTTTTAAGCTGCCGTTAAAAGGTTAATGGCTACTTAACGGAATTTTTGGAAAACTCATGTTTTTCGCAAATAAATGAAAGTTGGAATTATTTTTTGTAAGTTTACTTTTTTTATTTTTAATTTTGATATTTATGTTTTAAAAAATATAATAGTATATTCTTGTTAGAGATTTGTCTCAATTTTTTTTAAAAATATAACACTTTACAAATTTTGTTTTATGTTTTGGGGGAAGTATAATATTGGATTATCAAAAAGTAATTCAGAGTATCGCTCGAGAAAGAGATTGCAATACAAAAAATTGTAGTGAGTTATTAAGTTAGTTAGTTCCGTTTTGGGGAAAAAATATTGCTTGTGTCATTTTCATAATTTTTGAATTATTATTTTGGGGGGAAACATTTGTACGGAATGATCGAAAAAAATCACCAGTTGGGTAGTTCCATTTTAGAAAAAATAATACGGAGTAGAAGATTATCAATAAACATTTCGGAGTGTTGTTCATGAAAATAATTGCAATACAACAAAAAATGTAGTGAGTTATAAAAATAAAAGTTCCATTTCAGAGAAAAATTTATTATGTTATTTTCACAACTGTTGTAATGTTGTTTTGCAAAAAAATATTTTTATAGAATTATCGAAAAATATGCACAAGTTTTGTAGTGCCATTTTTTTAAAATAATAATACTACAGTATCAAAAAACAATTTGAATTGTCGCTCAAGAAAACTAATTACAACTTACAAAAAAGTGTAGTGAGTTAAGAAGTAAATAAATTAGCTTCATTGTGTAGAATAGTTTATTGTTCAATTATTACCAGATTATCGATTATTGAAAAGAATTATTAGTTTTCATTCTAATAAAACAATTAAATTTTAAGACGGAAGGAGTAAATTAAATCTTACTTATTATAGATTTCTAGTACTTCTTTCACCCCACAAAATATCAATTTTTTTTCCATTTTCATTTTTCAATTAGAACTACCTATTTATTCATATTAGTTGTGCAGTCTCCGTCAAACAGTGACGGATCCAAGAATTTGGTTAGATGGGGGCATAATTCGTCGGAGATCTCGGGGTTGCGCCCATGTATTTTTTTTAAATAGACAATATGGAATAACAAAAAATAGTTAATTCTTTTTTAAACATTTCTTGAATGTAAAATATAGTTTAATATGTAATATAAAATCTTATTATAAACAATAAATTATATTTAATAAATAAAATACACTTCAATAAAATTAAACAGAAAACTAAAAACTAGCTTAATTACATAAGATTTTATTAATTTTTGTTGTGAGTATATAATTTTAGATGTGGTCAACCCCAATTTTGATAGGAGCATGCAGTCCAAAGTATAAGCACTTTTTTTTTCAAAAAAAGTTAACACCATAATTTAGTAGGAGGCATTGGCCCCTAATTGCTTCTATGTAGATTTGCCCCTGCCGTTAAATCATATTTATTCATTACTAATTTATGCATCACAATTTTTCCTACCCTACTAGGGAGTATAAAACAAGGATAAAAATATTTGGGATTTAGTGAAGAAATTTTTCGTTTTAAATTTATTTATGAGCTAGGAATTTTTTTTTACTCGGGTAAGTATAAAAGAATAGAGAAAGAGGGATAGGAAATAGAGCAGTAGTAGTCATATGGAAAGATCAGAGTAGATCTGAGAATCCAGAGAGGATTTTGTTCTTTCTGCCAAATGTCAGCACGGCAGCGAGAGAGGCACAGCGGCCCCGCCGGGCCGGCGCAGGCATTAACGAAACGGTAGATGCGCTTTTATTTGACGGAGTTCGAAAATCAGACTCAAAGTTTTTCAATCGCCTGCACGTGCAATTATATATTTGCCACTCAATCAATGTCCAAACAAAAACCCACCTACACACACCTATAGCTATCCTCGCCTCATGCCCTTGTGTTAGATTACACCGGTCCAACACTTGGCCGACAAGACATAAATTGATTTATAGTCTCATTGAGTTAGCATAGGGGTTGATTTTTGTGTCTAATACTTACAGAAATCATGGTTGTTCTTTCTTGCAGTCACTAGACTTCAAACTCAGAATTTGTCTCTTCTATCTCTTTTATGCCAAATGTTAACCGCTGTGTTACGCCTCACCGACACTTATGTTAAAGTTTAGGAGTATATGAGATTGCGCTATGGATATGCAAAGATTTGTACCCACTTAGGAGATCAAGTTATTAGACATACACAGACAATAATTGTCTATACACCACACAGACAAATATTTTTTCTCTATATGATTGTGATATAAAAGTAGAGTATAGATCTTGGTGTACTCCAAACTCTACTGGAATTTAAACTGGTTTTGGTGACATAACTCGGTTAGTCAACACACTTGTAAAAGTGTGATGTAATAGAGTAGTGTGATGTAATCAAGTTCGACACTAGATGAAGATTTAAAATTTCATCTACATAGTTTGACGTTAGATTTAATCTTGGTTCTTTCAACCCTGACTTGCACAATCTCCAATGGAACATTTTGAGCATTAATATCTTTATTTATATATGAATACTTATTATAAAAATATAAAAATTTACGGAGTAGATACTTATTTATAATATTGATGGTGCTGTAAAAATATTAATGGCCCCGTATATAAATATTGCTACATTTCAAGATAAATATATTGATATTAAATTTATATCAAAATTTAATATATTTTTCCGATAATTCATGGTCAAAATTTTAAAAAATTGATTGTGCAAGTCAAATTTAGAAGAACTAAGAGAGACGAAAAAGTCGCATTCAAATTGTCACAATAAAAGCTTCTCCAACCGGTGTACATTTTTAAAGATATGTAGCATTTCTTATTCCAATGGTGCTGCAATCTCAAACCCAAATTGGTGTTTTACTCTCTCTCACTTCAGCGCATATTTGCATATCTACTCTTCAAGTTGCATATGGGTTTATCAATTTGCACATTACTCCTTTGTAAATGATATTTTCTGCATTTGCTACTCAACTTGATGTTTACAACACACAAATGTACACAGGAACACTATGATAGCACTTACAATCGTTACACAGAGTTGAGCAAATTGGTCAATATAGGGCGCGCACATATTGAAGACCCTGCATCCGAAAACAAAGGGGAGGAACTTTACTTTACATCACTTAAAAATTTACAGTTAAAAATTCAACCATGTAAATATGGTATTAACTGTATTATATCTGTATCTCTCCATTGCAACCACCTCAGCTCGAAGTGGTAACTTCTAAGTAAAAGCAAAAATCCTATCTACAATCTTTGTCCGGCAAATCGGACACTCGGCACAGGCAAGGGAGCAAGACTTGCACACTGCAAAAGTCGTGGGCAAATCACTCAGTGATGTGAAGTGGCAGGGAATATACCTCTGTGACTCTGTCCCAGTATATTCATCTAATTTGACTTTTTTCAATCAAATTGAACAAATTTCGATCATGAAATAAAATATACATTGCATATTAGTTGAAAAATGAATTGTTAAACTTGCAAAAAAGTCTTTTTTAAAATTCCATTGTACATAGTATTAAATATGTAAGATGCGTTGAAGTTGATTGAAAAAAGTCAAACTAGACATATAAACGGGGACATAGTGAGTATTAAGCAAGTGAAAACTAGGAAGCGGGTACTCACAGCAAAAATGACGGCAAGGAAGAAGCATAGCGGCAGTTGGTGATTCAAAACACACTTTGCACGCATGTGAATTTGCATCCCCGTTCCCCGAGAGCCCACGCTCTTTTTCCTTCATCTCTCGCATTCGAGCCTGTACGTACGTAATGTTGCAATACAGAATAACTTTAAAATCTAATATTGTAAATGATTATTCGGTGAATTAGAACAAGCCATTTATGACAATCAAATGGAGCCTGAGTTTGTAATGAGGATCACACTTACCTTAAGGCGTGCAACGAGTGGCTCCTCTTTTGGAATTTCAGGAGGTGGAGATGGATTATCAAGGGATTGAAATTCTGAGCAGACAGGATCGTTGTCATTCACTGTGCCACGTTGCTTCTCATTTGTCTTCAAATCTGGTCTCACTCCATTGTCTTTCTTCAGCTGTGCAACCAACACCCACATATTAGCTAAGTCATTTTCCAAAGCAGCTTCCCTTTTCTTTGCCTCTTCAACAGTTTTCCGGCTCTCATCCTCCTTAGCCTCCTTCTCAGCCAAGGCAGCCTCCAAAGCAGACTCGCGCTGTTTCCTTGCCAGCAATTCCATCTTTAAATCTTCATGGTCTAGGTCCCACGTGTCAAAGTCATCATGAAGGACTTCATTTGCCCGACCGGATGGATAACCTCTACGACCCTGCCTTGTACTACTCTCAATGCTATTGCGGTTTCCAACATTACAATTCTGCACACCAGAACTCCAACTAGAGCTCATCAACTTCTCTCGAGCAGCAGATAGTTCTTTGTCTACTTTTGCCTTCTGCAACGAGAGCTTGGTGACTTCTGCAGCTATGCTTTTCAGTTCAACAGCAGCAGCTGACGCTAATTCCCTTGCATATGAAGCCTCCTCTGACAGTTTCTGGTTCTGTACACGAAGTCTAGTGTTCTCCTCCACAATCTGAACATGTTCTAGCTTGAACCTCTCATTCTCAATCTCCTTCTCAGAGTACAAGGGATTCTATTAGTAATAGTCTAGAACTCCCATTGGTTTTAATTACGTTCTTAAAATTTAGTAACACTTGGGGTCCATTTTCATCCATGAATATACTAGAGAGAGAAAATAGAAGGAAAATGGGAATGAAAGAAATTTTGGGAGAAATAAATACTTGTACTCCGTAATAAACTCAAGCTCACTGAATTAATTTTAGATCTATGTTCAAAAATAAATTCTATTATATGAAGACTAGGAAATCTAAATTTATACTTGTAATAAAAGGACAAATGAAAATTCACCATATCCCATTCCACATAACATTTTCCGAGGCAAATCCAACGATAAAAATTAAAGTTCATGAATGTCTCTTTCTTCCCCTTACCTTTTCCATGACCAAAACATGCCCTAGGAGAAGGGAGTGTAAGAGTGTTTAATACTTGCAGAGTACCAATTACCTGAATTTGAAGTTTCCTTTTCAGTTCATCTGTATATTCATCACGCACACACTGTTCAGAGGAGAGTGATAATTTTTCACTCTTGAGATTAGACAACTGGTGTTCCATGTTACCAATTTTTTCTTGCAGCTCCTCGTTCTCCAAGCACTACCAATAACAAGTGAACAATAATAGTAATTCCAGAAAATTAGTAGGAAAAAAACTACTCCCTCCGTCCCTAAATATTCACAACATTTGCTTTTTTCAACCGTCGCGGGAACTTTTGTTTATTTCGACGTTTTCATTGGTTATTTGATAAAATAAAATATTCTTGATACCTCTTATTTCGAAGAACTTTTCATTTACTTTTTTTATATGTAAATTTTATATTTTATTTCTTTACCAATATGTAAATAAAATGAATTGAAAAAACTTGATATTTTGCCTCGGGAATACAAATGTGGCAAATAATTTGGGACGGAGGAAGTAATATTCTAAATGCACTAAATGTGGTGAAATAGAAGAGGGGGCAGGGGGAGTGGACTTCACCTTGATCTGCAGCTGTTCTTGAAGAACCCGATTATCTGCGGACTTGATCTGCAACCCAAGATTCAGATGTTAAAAAGCATTCTGTAACAAAGTTATAATCGTATACTATACTCTCATGCCGGTGATAACCTCGAGCTCAAACCCCTGTTCACTACACTGGGCTGTCAATTTTGTCAACACCTGTTAAACACCAAAGACAAATTGTTACCTGAAAGACCAAAATGCTACTAAAAATCACCAACGACGTTCAGTATACATCACATATAAAATGAGATAGGGAATGACATTAAAGTGACTAAAATCAGATCACCTGTTGCATCTCAATGAAAGTTGATTTAGCGATTGACGTTTCACCGCTCTCTACAATTCGTTGTTCTAAAATTTTCATTTGTGTTCTTTTCTCTTGAATTTCACGCTCCAAAGTTTGAATCTACAGAAAAATTTTAGGCAATTCACATGAATAACACTGTCTAGAATTTGAAAAATATTTTTCCCATGAATATGTTTACTTCCCACTAAGCATAGCATGTTATAGTAATGGAAAGTGCACTCCAGATTTTTAAAAACAAAGGCACAAAGTTACTACATTAATATTAAAAATATCTTTACATATATGAAAAAGAATGCAACAACAACAACAACCCAGTTAAATCCCACAAGAGTAGGGTCTGGGGAGGGTGTGTGTACCGCAGACCTTGCCCCTACTCGAAAGTAGAGAGGCTGTTTCCAAAGAGACCCCCGGCTCAACATCGAAAGTTGCAGTGTTTGACTAACTGCTACTTCATTAATTAAAGAAGCGCAGATAGTTTAGAGATCCATTTTGATTTATTCCATCACACCCCAAAGCCAAAAATGGTGAAATTTTGACTCCATCGGAGATGATGGAAAATATGAAAAAGAATGC